ATACAGTCTACCACTCATATAAATCTGAACCTGATAAAGCTTCTATTTTGACTTGGTCTTAGATAGCGCTGGATTTTCCTTTAGCATTGTGTGTATTCCTCGCTTTTTAACAAATCTCACCGTCCTCTCTTGAGGACCTTTGTAGCAAACAACTTCCTAGGTTGATTCCACCAGACGACAACGACATATTCTCTCTTGCTCTGTTGTTTAATGCTTTTTTTTACATTCGGGCGGATACATTCTTTGAGACACCCCTTTCGGTTTTGACGAACCTGACCCGGGTTTCATAACAGTGGTATTCACTCAATTTCGCTCAAGGTGTTAAAACACTGGCAGTTGACGTTTCACACAATCAGATGACTTGGTCCCACGATGCCATTGCATTCCGCTTGGCCTTACTCCCCAAAATGTATTCTCATCCCAGACGCACTGATGCCTCGACCTCGCCTTAGTCCCATCGGGAATTGAACCCAGGTTGTTGTGATGCCCTACCCTGCCACAAATACTCTCGTGGCAGAGGGCAAACATGAATTTCAGCGATGCCTGGGCCTCTTCCATAGCACAGCTATAGAGGGGTTGCCGATGTGGCAGACTTGTATTCTGCCATTACAATCAATCACGTCACTTATATTCATCGAAAGTAGGCTTAAGACAATAATTAAATATTTGCATTAATATAATGTTAGTCTTGGTCTTGAAAAGTATGCTGATTTGTTTTCAACCTCTCCGATGCACATCGATTTGAAAGATCAGGCAGGTTATAGAACGATCTGCCGGGTTCATCGTTTCTATCAAATCTCCGTTTCTGAGTGAATATACATTTCATTGGAACTGAAGTCATCTTGAATCAATTCAAGTGATGGCAAACGATTAAACGACAAACGACTAAAACTATTCATAATTCCAGCACAGTTAACTCATTTTTTCCTACTAACAAGCCTTCTCTTCAGGGCTCCACTCCCTCAGTAGATCACCCATACTTTTCACAAGTTGACAGGAAGGAAAAATCAGGAACTGAGTACAATGGTCCAAACGCCTATTCCGCCCCAGATAGCAATCTAAATGGATGTTTACCAATCATCATTGAAATAGCAAAATGTTTGTTCACTCCGTCGTAATAGCACGAATAGCAGTCCCACAGTGGAAATTCTCATGAATACTCTGACAAAAGACTCCGGATTAGATGAGTTCATCTAGTTCGACCTGGCAACAAGACCAAATTGCAAAAACTTGATCAAACCAGTTCTATTTAAGAAAAACAGTGTATTAGAAGAATAAGTGTGCTGCAATCGTTTGAGACTTCTAACTTATTTTCTGTTTGACTGTTTATTCTTTCGGTACTTTGGATTCTGAACAATAAGTCTGCTCAGCTTAATTCGTCACTATCTAGATGTGAAAAGTATGAGCCCATTAGCTATTTCCTAACTAGCAAGTTAACTTATTCATGTACGATTTCGTTGTGATCAGAGATACAGGCTTCAATTAGAATGAATGTTAAAGTACTATCTCTTTTCTGGACAACGTTTCCTTGACGAATTTTTGGAGTTGCATAAATATTAGTTAGCTAATAATCGATTGTCACTACTTACCCTTATTGTGCATTCGCTGAGCCTTACGATAGGCTATTTCCGCCCTGTCATTCATATTACATTTTATCTCTCCTGCCTTACCTTAATCCGATTTTGCCAAAATCTGGAATTTTAAGTGACAAAGGTACTTAAAGCTATTAGAATATTGAAAAAATATCTGGGTATGATATGTAATATTATTTATCTATATCTATATCTATATATACACTTATGATAATTGTTTTTTTGTGTGTATTATATTGATACATAATAATTATAATTTTTTATTTAACATAATATTTGAGCTGTTTAATATCACTTTGCCTGGATCTGCTTATTAGATTTGTAGTGACCTATCCCCACATCTTTCCCATTCAATGTTTAGTTTTTGTTACATCCCATACGTAGCCTTGGCTCAACATCCTTTGGCGCTGAGATCACATGAGTGCGTGACTAATGTTGACTCTATTTTGCACCGCCCTATCAAAGCTTGGCACTGCATCGTCCAACTAGAAGTTGACATGGTAATCTACTCAAGCAGCTAACATTTTGTTTAAATATGTCACGTTCTTTTCCTTCTCTTTCTCCCCTCAGCTGTTGCCAGCGAAGTTTAGAACGTTGTATTTGGCGCTATCTTTCAATGATTGTCTTTCTATTGTCAGCTCGCCTATTCTGTATCCGACCGTTTCAAAATAGGTCATTTAGTAACACTATTTGTTCATTTCTCTCTTCGTTTCGGGCCTTCATCTTTGGAGTTACTACGTCCTTCTTAGGAACACAACAGATTAATAAACATTAGATTAATATGAATTGGATCAAAATCCTCTGTATTTTTACGCATCGAAAAAACAATAATGTTTGAAAGTAGCAAAGCTCACTTATTCTTGAGAAATTTATTTTTAAAACATAAAAATATTTATTAGAGTAATACCAACATTTACATAATTCTAATATCTTTTAAATGAATGCATGTATACTTTTTTAATAATACTTTCTCTTCAATGTATGCCCTTACTTTTTTGTCCATTTTGAAACCGAATAAACTCTTTTCCTATCTCCTATAAATAACCAGCTTACTAGCATTATTCGCGCTTGTTTGCAGTTTATTTATAAGAGGACATTATTTTTATATATATTCGTAGTGGGTAGGTTTTGAAACTACTAGCAGCTCTAGAGTAAGAGCTGTATTCACCCTAGGTCGCATTAATTTGTGGATGACTGATTGCTTAATTGTTCCGCAATGATATGCGTAGGCCTCTCGCTTTCATTGAAGTCTTTGAAATTCACACGGAACGTAATTCAACTCATTGAATTGGTAGAAAATTCAACTATCCCTCATTCATCATCCTATGCAACCTATGGTGAACAAAGCTCTTGTTTCTTTTGTATTTTTTCTATTCTCACCTCATTTGAAGTATAATTCATTCAAATTGATTTTATTTTTATTATCTCTTTCATTTTCTACAATTCATTTTTATCTGGTCAGATTGTGCTCGTGTGTCGCGAAAGGGTGTTTTCCCTTCCCGCTTCCCCTTAGACGTTACGGCTGCCAATTCTCTACAGAATAACAATCTTAACTCAAAGAACGTCTCACATGACACCAAACAGCCTCCCGATGACCTGGATATTGGTTCACAAGCTCCGTCCTCTTCTTCCTACTCGGGATTTTGTGCCCACATTTGCTCTCTTTTGCCCTACCTTAATCCGAACTGGCCACCACTTCGACTCCCCCAGAAGCTCCAGCCTTCAACCTCCAGTTCAAGTGAACTGCCGTCTGAATCGCCATCCGTCACCATTACTGAGCTGTCATCGAATACCACAGCCGCTACGGTTGACCAAGTGAGGTCTATTGCTTTTATTTACCATCCAAAGATGGTTCTTGACAAATATTTTACTTTGCTCTGAAAATCGCAACATTGTAAATATGTCTGAATTTCAATTTTGGCAAGAGGTTGCATTCATTTTCATATTCTAGACAAAATTTCTTTTAGATTTCATTTGAAGTCTGTTTCATGTTTTTGCCTATGCCTTTCTCAATCTTTCCCTAGAATCCTACCAGTTCGGAAATTAGCAATGCAAGTTCTCTTCCTATTTCGATGAATGAAGATTCGGTCACAGCAGGGATGATTGATGAT